TGCGAAGGTGAGAAATAATATCAAATTAGTTTTAAACAAAAATGACTTTCCTGGACCAGTAATCCGTTAAACTTCGAATTCAAAAGAATTGCATAACATTATCAAAATAACTAAATGTAAAAAAGTATTGTATATATCATATAAAGAACAATATTCTTATCGATAAATGGAAAGAATTATTATTCATTTCGAAATTTATCTTTAAAATTTATTAAGTGTTTTGCCTATCAAAATTTCCATTTTGTTTAGAGTTGCCATAGAAAGTAGTGCTTATTTTATTTGTTTTTTTGCGACATGCTTACAAAAGATAATGCCTAATTTAAAATAACATACATTGTGACCGAAAGGTTTTCGGAAGTTCTCATTTAAAATTCGCGCGCTGTATATTTTTCGATATTTTAAGTTTATGTAGTTTGGCAGCACTGTCCTTAATTACTATGCCAAAAATGAGCGCGATCTGTCAGACAGTTCGTTTACGGCAGCTGTTGAAACCAGTTCACCTCAGTAGTGCGTTGCGAAAAAAACAATGGAAAAAAATATTGAACAAAGAGTTTGCATCAAATTTTGTGTTTCGAACGAAATTTCGTGTGCAGAATCGTTGCGAATGCTACAAAAGGCTTATTGGGAATCAGTTTTATCGAAAACTCAAGTTTATGAGTGGTACAAAGCCTTTCAGGACGGTCGTACGACCGTCGAAGACATTTCGCAACGCACTACTGAGGTGAACTGGTTTCAACAGCTGCCGTAAACGAACTGTCTGACAGATCGCGCTCATTTTTGGCATAGTAATTAAGGACAGTGCTGCCAAACTACATAAACTTAAAATATCGAAAAATATACAGCGCGCGAATTTTAAATGAGAATTTCCGAAAACTTTTCAGTCTTAATGTAAAAAGTCGAAATAAAATTAAAATAAACTGAAAATAAAAACTTTACCAAAAACGGGACTTGAAACCGGAACTATATATTTTAGCACTTAACCATCACTTGATTCTGTTTTTGTCCTCATTAAAATTTCGAGCTCAAATATTTACACTATGTTGAAGTACAATATTTTGATATAAGTAATAACACTTTACAATGAGGATATTTTCAGCTCATATATCTCAACTAATTACCTTAGTAATTTATGTTGCAGATTTTTCTTTGTAATTTCAGTGCTTCATTAAGATGGAGATATTATATGTAACAATTCAACTTACAGTTTTGTGTAGATGATATCTTCTCCGTCACATATCCGCCAAAATTCCTTTATTATTTCTAATATATTTTAGTTTTTATGAGTTTGATGAGTTAATTTTATGAAGCTCATAACATCATTATGAGCACTAAAAGGTGTTCACTCCTAAAAGCAATTAAATTATGTTACTTTTTTAGTTTACTTTTATGAACTAAAACATATGCGTATATTGGTTATTATCCTCTTAAGGTTACCATAATTCAATATTTTTATTTAAACAATAAAACACTTTCTCATTTTTCATTTTTAATACATTTTGTCAAATTAACCAAATAAAAATGAAATGATAATAAAAGTGTTTTTGACAACTCATGGCCGCGAAATAATAATTTTACTGTGCTGTAAAAAATATGTATATATCATATAAACAGGGTGTGATTATTTATTGCAAATACAAGTAAGTTTACGACTTCGATTGTTAATTTTAGATAAAACAATATTTAATTGGTTTTATTGTAGTAATAATTATTTTAAATACCGGTACCTATAGTAACAAATTAATATTATGCCACTACTTGCATATTAAACTCCTAAATGTGTTTTAACGAAAAGTGGTGTTCACACTTACTAAACGTGTTTTAATAACAGCTCTTGTGTAAAACTTTTTATGTTTTAAATAATTACATATGAAATAAATTGATTTGGATTAAAAAAATATTTTTAAAATATTTTTAAGTAAACAAAACTAAAGTAGTATTAATATTATTTTGTCCTACTTAAGTGATCACTGCTTTTTCAGATAATTTAAATCTTTTGAAATTAGAGAATTCATAGTAAGAAATAGTTACTTACATTTATTTATATTTAAAAAATTGTATATACTAAATATTAAATGTAAATTGTCCGACAAATGTATAGATGGCAATAGTTTTTAAGTCCCAAAAATATTTTTTAATCAAGCGAACTCTTGGGCCACACAACTGTTAAGGATAGTTAACAGTTGATAAATAAATAGTACTAAATATATATAATTATAAATATATAACACTTACATAGATATATGTTATAGATTTGATAAATATGGTAAATATCTATCAAATGTCAAGAATTGAATCCTGCCAAATTTGAGGAGTAAGCTCTTAATTTCAGGAAGTATAAATTCATATTTAATATTAATTTTTTTTTGTTGTCGAATGCGACTTGCTTATGACGAAAATAAACTATTTAAAAGTTAGAAGTCTTCGAATAGAAATAAAAAGACAACGTCAAATATTTTAGTTAATATCTTGAAAGTTTTGTCGTTGTTTTTTCATTTCATTTTCATTTATTTGCTGTATTTAATATAAACTAATGCATTAACTTGGTTCTTTTTTTTTTGATTTTGAATAGTCCATGGACTCGCCATGGACTGAAAATAATTTTAGGTATGTTTATCCATTATTCCTTCTAGCCATTATTAATAGCAATCCTTTCAACACGATAGACGTAACATACGATGTTCAAAACGAATTTTTTAATCGGTTTATAAAAAATTAAAAATTGGGAAAAGGATTGGAGTGAGAAAGATGATTGTAACTTCACAAAATGTCACAAAATTCATATAAGTATCACAAAGAATATATAAATATATATTAAATATATGCAATATATATTAAAATTATACTCAGACTTAGAAGAGGTAATAATAGTCTTAATCTTCTATCGGGAATTTCTGTGGGAAGCTTCTCAGGTGATTAATATTTCCCTTCTAATAACTTGAATGATGTGTCTCAGATTATTAAGTTTATGTATGAAATAGAAATAATAATAACGATTGTTAATTTTATTAGATTATTATTATTACGAAAAATTTTTTTTTTCTATATATTCTATATCTATATAAATAATTCTATATAATATATCTATATATATGTATTAATACCATACAAAAAATTCAATTATTTTTTGTTTAAAATTTTATTAATAATTAATAAAATAATATATATGTAAAATTACTTTCTACCATTTACTGTCAAAGCACTGAATAAAATCTCGATATACCCTGTAAAATATGTTCAGTTTATTATTAAGTTGAAGTGTTGGGCTTATAATAAAAGAAATGAGAAAGTAAATTTATGGCAAACCTGAGTCCTTTTCATAAAAAACATAAGCTAAAACAAATGACTAATCATAAAAAGTCGTGAAAAATTTGTTGCATGCGACATTAATTTTTGGGATATAAAAAATTATGCTACATTATAAAGAGATACTGCGGTTGACAGTATAATTAAATAAACAAAAAAAAAAAGGAAATATTATATTGAATGAAAACTGAGTAAAAAAGAAATAAAATTTTATATAAAATGTTTATGTTTCTGTTCAATAAAATTACAAAATGGATTTTTAATGGGCTGGGTCCTTTTCGCTCTTGAAATCTGAAAATCAGTTATGACTGCAAGTGACAAGTTTTAACATTGAAAATGCTTCTATATTTGTATTCTTTTCACCTACACCTTCGATTTCTTTTAATATTATTTTTATAAAATTTTTTTTACAATTTTTCATATTAATTTTAATACATTTTCTTTCCATATCTTCGATTTTCTTACAATATTTTTCCCCTAAACACAACATTTTCATTAAGCACGTGACATAAACACTTGCAAATGCTTGTACATACTCGTATTCTGCTGTATTATTGACATGTCAACAGTCGTGCTGTATGACATTAGTCAGCCCTCTGTAACGCTCCATACTTTGGGACAGACATAACATATATACCAGAACCCAAAACAAAATAGAGAAAAAATCAAAGAATTAGAAAATTACAGACGTTTTAACACAGCTCGTTTGTTTCTGGATTTTCTTTTTGTTCTAAAATTGGCCAGCTTTGTTTTAAGGCGTTGTCTGTCTGTCGGTTCATTTAATATATTTTCTTTTCTTTGAGCAATGTTTTGTATTTACGTTTCTAAAAGCTAATACTTAAAGTATCTGCAAATTTGTGCAAGTATTAAATTTAAGTATTAAATTTGAGAAATTTGGTATTTAATTTGCACTTGAAGTGAGTACGTTTT